CTCGGGTTCTCAGCAGCGTGCGCATCTCCCAATAAATGTGCTCAAAACAGTCCTGAAGAACAGAGATAGCTCCTGGCGGCCAGGTTCTCACTTGCTTCTGGTCTGGTTTGGCACGTCTGATGAGCGGTCTGTATGCTGGAATGAGCATCACAGAGATGTGGTCTGAGTAGCCGTAGTGGGGGCGGGGCTCAGCCCTGTACGTGCCGAGGATGTTTGTGTAAACAAGATCCACCGGGATTATAGAGGACTTTAAAAATTATTTAGTTTAGTCCAATTGTTCTCTGTCCCGGTCCTTGTAATGACACCATAGCAACTGTCTGGAATTCCAAAATGAACTCAACTAAGTTGAGTTTCTGCCTGAAAGGTGTTTCTAATAAAGTGGCCAGTGAGTGGAAGCACAAGATAGGTATTCCTAATAAATTAGCCACCTGGAAAAACAAAACAACAGCCTAACAACACCTTAAGAAACCACCTGGGACACTATGGCAACGGCCTAGCAATACCTTAGCAACCACCTGAGATACCATACCAATAGCCTAGCAACACAGTACCAACAATCTGAGACAGCACAGTAACACCTTGGGAAACCTCCTGCAATAGGAAATCACCATCCTAGCAACACCATAGCAACCATTTGAGACAAAACACATACACACTAATGCACAATAATTACACAGCAGTTACACAGTAATTACACACTACATTTGCATACATGCACACTGACACACTTGCATGCAGCAATAGCACAGTTACAACACAGTAATATACTATTATTGTTTAATAGCCTGTCAATACCTTAGCAAGCACCTGGGATAGCATAACAATGGCCTAGCAACACCACACCAACCACTTGGAACAACATAGCAACCACATTTGATAGGATAGCAAGCATCTTAACAACATCCTAGCAACCACCAACAAGCAATGGCCTAACAGCATAAAGCCTTATTAGCTGGTCTTCTCAAGACTTATAAACTTTTTTTATAAACTTTTTATAAGCTCCTGTACTCCCTGTACACCCATGACTGCACTGCTAGACACAGCTCCAACGCCATCATAAAGTTTGCTGACGACACAACAGTTGTGGGCCTGATCTCCAACAACGATGAATCGGCCTACAGAGAGGAGGTTAAAATCCTGGAAAACTGGTGCCAGGAGAATAACCTCTCTCTAAACGTCAGTAAGACCAAGGAGCTGATCGTGGACTTCAGGAAGCAGGAGAGAGTACACCCATCGATTTCCATCAATGGGACTGCGGTAGAGAGGGTCAGCAGCTTTAAGTTTCTCAGTGTTCACATCAGCGAGGACCTGACATGGGCAGTGCACACCTCACAGGTGGTGAAGAAGGCCCACCAGCGCCTTTACTTCCTCAGAAGGCTGAGGAGGTTTGGCCTGACCCCAGCATCCTTAAGACCTTCTACACCTGCACTGTGGAAAGCATCCTGACGGGCAGCATCACCACCTGGTACGGGAACTGTACTGTTCGTGAGAGGAAATCTCTGCAGAGGGTGGTGCGGACAGCACAGTCCATCACCGGGGGTTCAGCTCCCTAACCTATTGGATTTATACACCAGTCGCTGCCTGAGGAAATCCAGAAGGATTATGAAGGACCCCTCCCATCCTAGCCACTGTCTGTTCTCTCAGCTGCTGAGTGGTAGGAGGCTCAGAAGCTTAAAAGCCAGAAGCAGTCGGCTCAAAGACAGCTTCTTCCCCCATGCAACCAGGCTATTGAACAGCCAGTAATCACTGCTCTGCCCAGCCCAACCCTTCCCATTACACGTACGTGCACCCACTGTACTCCCGCACTTTACTTGCATAGCTGGACTTTGAATACCTATCCAAAGACAATACTCTCCCCCTGCGCTTCCACTTAACTTCCTGTACCTTGCACTTTACTAAATACTCTGCCACCTACTGTACCATCTTCTACCTCCACACCTAGTGTGATTATTTGCACATCTACATAGCATTGTAATATCCATTACTATATATAGTATATAGTTGATTACACTCACTCTACATTCCCAGTGCAATATTATATGTCTCGGTGCAATATTATTATTTTTAAGTTATTGTGTAAGATTATATGTATATATTTTAGTTAAATTGGTTTTATCTATTCTTCTATCCTATCTATAGTTTTGTTTATCTATGTTGTAAATACTGTTCTCTGCATAATTTGTGGAACTCGCACTCAAGTTTTTCACTCACCTGTGTCCCTGTACTCTTGTGATGTGACAATAAATCTGATTTGATTTGATTTGATTTTGATTTCTAGTTCTTCTACTTCTTCTTCTTCTTCTTCGTCTTATTATTATTATTATTATTATTATTCACAATTTTTATTGTGGGAACACAAAGCATACATGTAAAATCCAAGCAAAGAGAGGAAAGACTTTCTTTTGATATTTCTTACCTTTAGCCGTCATTTGTTTTCTTAGAAAATGAAGATAGATGATCCCGTTTATAGTGACAATTATTGATACACCGACAGCGCAGCACACATCTGAAAAGAGGAATTTAAAGAAGAACTTCATATATCTTGGATGATATTGTAAAATACTGTTTAAACTCATTCCTCATTTTCAGTTTTCTGAAACACACTTACATCCTGTTCCTCTCCATTTAGAGCATGTTTGATTTTTATTTTCATGCTGACGTCGCACCACAAAAACCACTGCTATCCACACAGTGACATACATTACTGCAGTGAATGGAAGCGTCCACACTGCAAAACACAGATACACATTTTTAACTGAATTAGAACTTTTCTGCCAATATCCACACAGTCACCTTTACTGCTCTAAGAAATAATTAAAGACCTTAAATTATAGTTTTTTTAAACATTTAACTCCTCTCGGATGGCTTAGTGAGCTAAAACAGATAAATGATGGTGGTAAATTAAATTATGACCATATCAAATCTATAATTTATCTAATAAACTGTCAAATGTGCCATAGACCTGTCTTAGTAGCAGTAGCTTATCATGCTACAGCTTCGAGCATGACACAGGTTTGATTCCAGCTGACTGAATCTAACATGAGTTTAGAGGATAAAGACTCTGAACTGAGGGAGTCTCTGCTGGTGTTTGTGCTCCTACAGAGCGGCAGCTTCTTCGAGCGATTCAGCAGGACCATCACCGCTTAGCTGCACAAAGTCTAGAGCTGGTCTGTTGACAAATCATGTTTGAGACATTTAGGCCAGGATGGAGAAACAGCAGCAGCAAAAGTGGCCTTATGACAATTAGTTGCTACAAGGACACCACGTGAGCTCAGGACCAGGTGTGTCTGTTCAGCCCATTGCAGTGTAATGGATGCTGTGTCAGTCTTCAGAGCAGCTGTGAAGGGAACTGTTTGGTGTTGAAGGTCTCTGAGGTGGAGTTCTGGCTGTACAGGTTCTGAACCGTTTAAAGACTGCAGTGGTGCACTGGGATTATCTCTACCTGTACTGCCTCCCAGGATCCTGCTGTGGACTCCAGCCTGGAGTCATGTTTGTGCAGGTTTTTTCCCCTTTTTTACAGTGCATATTTGTTCAGTGGTGTCACAGAATGCTATTAATTTGCATACCCATGAATCCCTTTGGCTGCCTGTTCTTTTGGTAACTTCATGTCTCTGTTTTTTTGGAGTGTTTGCACATTTGTGGCATGCACCCGTCCCCTGGGCCCTGAGGACTGCTGCAAGAGCCAGCAGGAAGGTGGGCCCCAAACTCTGAGCCCAGCGGGGAGAGGATGAATTCTGAAAGTGAGTGGGAGACAGCGCACAAGTGTGCTCCAGTCCCACAGTGAAGTCACTTCAGTTTGTCTCCTGTTCGATCCAGGTGGCCAACCAAGACAGGGACGAGCAGCACCAGCAGAAGAGACTGAAGAGTAAGCTGGATAAAAGGACTGAAAAGTCTAGTTTTGAAGCCACTGAAAAGTGGCCAGCTTAGCTTTGGTTGTGGTTTTGTTTTGGTTGTTTGATGTGAAAATTAAAGTTAAATGGCTGCTGCAACCCTGAACCCTGCTACTAGCATCCTTCCTGAGCCCGGGGCAGCACAGGCCTTGCTACAACATTGTTTTGTGTCTTCCATCAGCAGAAGCCTGGCAGGTTTCTCTGCACTGACTTTCCATAGCCTTGTGGCTAAAAACCAACCAGTTTATTTAACACAACAAACTTCTAACTTACATGCATTTCCCCTTATTGGAGAATATTTGATTTCTCTCTATGAGAAACGTATTGAACTTATTAACTCAAACACATATTTGGCTCTATTTTTGTCGTTATATCAAGATGAGTAATGATAAATCTCAGCGCAGGTGTAGCAGACATTGTTTTTTTAACATGTCTCTGACCTACAGGGCAGCTCTGATCCGGTGCAGAGTAGCACAGCTGTAAATGGGGAACAGTTACAGTGAAAACATTATCAAAAGGCGGGGCTGAGCTACAGCCAATCAGATCAATTCCATTTATTCCCTTTCAGAGCAACATGAGCCCTGACAGAGCACTGTAGACATGACTGTGTGCCACAGGAGTGAAAAGGCAGCGCTCCACTGGTCAATCAGCTGGATGGCTCAAGATTCAATCCAGAGCAAACATACAGAAATACATGCTTACTGAACTTCCTACTTCTGGTCCAAACAAGAAAAATACATAAAGAAGAATTAGCATTATTTAATGTTGTTTTAGCTTTTTTAAAAACTTCAGAAGTAATTTTATGCACTTACCCTGGGCAAAATCTCTCCTTCTAACCCCAACAGTAACAAAAACTACAAAATTATAGAAGCAGAGTACAGCTACAGTAGCAGATGTGAGACCAACATGCAGACCTGAAAAAAATAATCATACAGTTTTATGTAGAATTCTTCATTAACAAAAAAAAAGCCTTCATTTGTTTTATCTGCTATCAGTTACATTCACAGTGCTCTGTGTTTTCAGACAGAATGTTCCATCTTGAAATCGTATTAAATTTTTGATGCCATTTATCACACTTACGTTCAAACGGTTTCTGCTGAAAGCAGTGTCTTTGCAGGGAGAGAAGCAGAGCCATCCCCAGCAAGACTGCTGGTAACACATGATACACATCTGGAATGAAGATGCATGTTAGTAATAAAGATTGCACATTTTTTAGAAAATCATTAAATGCCAATACAAGTGCCGTCTTTAACTTTAGAGAAGTTAGAGGAGTTAAAGACAGCACTTGTCTGGGAGAAACATTTGGATTTTAAACTTCTACCAAATCCTTTGTTTTACACTGTTTCTTAAGTGCGTGCATGAAACAAAATACACTTTATGGCCAAAAGTATGTGGACACCCCTCCTAATTATGGAGGTTAGGTGTTTCAGTCACACCCATTGCTAACAGGTGGATCAAATTAATCTCACAGCCTAGCAGTCTCCACAGACAAACACTGGCAGTAGAGGGTCGAACTGAAGAGCTCAGTGACATTAAACCTGGCACTGTCACAGGATGCCACCTCTGTCACAGTCAGTCTGTGAAATCTCTGTCCTGTTAGATCTGCCCCATCAACTGTTAGTGTTATTGAACTGTAAGTGCTTAACTCACTAGATCACTCTAAGTAAGAAATGAACATGTTTAATGTGTGCAGGTGCTGCAATCAGAGCAACAAAAATAAACCTCACTCCATCTCTATTGGTTTAATTATCCATTAGTGAGGATTCAATCAAACAGGTCTCCAATGTCTGGCCCAAATTATCAAAAATGAGTTCTGTGGTATGCGTGACTCATCTACCATCATTAGCAGCAGCTTGTGCAGCAAGAATGATACGAGAGTCTGTAAAGAGGCAAATGTTAAACAGGCTGATTACACAGACAGTGCAGTGCTGACAAGCTGTGAGGAAAGTGTGTCTTCATATTGAATTCACACGTTTGATTAGGACCATCATAAAAAATCTTAACCATCAGCAGCGAACTGAACCACAGTTCCCTTCCAGCAAACTGAGACCTGTGATTTTTTGCAGAACATGTCCATTTGATTAGCGTACGCCTGAGTATGGGAGTGTCCACACCTGTCAAAGTAAGAAAACATCCGATTGGTCCAAACAAAACAAAGTAGGTGTAAAGTCCTGATAAAACAGGCATGAAAGCAAGCCTTATGTATGCTTGAGTGCTGAAATTAAGCTTGTCTGCACACCTAGTTTGTTTGCTAACCAGATTCTGAGTTTTTGTAATATTGCATGTTTTTAATTTGGTTCGGTTGGTTTCTCAGCAGCTAACGGGCACTAAATTAAACATGTAGGTGTTCATTAATTGGTCAGAAATTCAAGTACTCTTTTACTCTCTTGTTTACCACAATTTGAGTCTAAAACTCCAGCTTCGCATAAAAATAGAGATGCTTAATATCTATATGTATCACAGTCAAAGCAGTAATAAAAAACCTTACTTGATCTCTGCTTCTTTTTGATGGTCAATTTGAATGTAACCAATAGGGTCACTGATTGCAATATGTTGCAAGATCCTTGTGCCAAAATCTAACACATTGCTTCGGTTTTATGTTATTGCTTTGTTGTTATCAGAAGCAGCTCACACTCCAGGAGTGATATGAGCATCGGACTTTAAAACAGGCAGATTATGTGGACAGTTCAGCGCTGATGAAGCAGAAAAGCATGCTAGGATGTTGAATTCCCTTGTTTCAGGTGGATCACCACCAAAATGCATTCTCAACAGCAAAGAACTGAACGAGGGTTCATTTAGAAGCAAACCGAGACCTGCAATGTATGTCAGGCATTGGTTCATTTGTTTAGTGTGGAGTACAGACGGAGTGTTCCAAAACCGTGGACTAGTTTATTCAAAACCCATACATTTTTGGAAATGCTCACAATGGGTCTGCTGGCTCTATAAAGATGAGACGGTGTGGGTTTCATACACCTTTGCCGTCTTTATTCCTTTCCCATCTCCAATCGCTATGCAACAAAACAAAAGAACTACTCCTGCTCAACAAAACCAACAAGGACTTTTCAAACACATCTGCTTCATGGAGACCTGGCTTTCTGGTCTGACACAGAGAGCACACTGCACCTCCCCGGCTTCCAGCTGCACGGAGCGGACAGACACACAAAGCTCAGTAGTAAAACCTCTCGGTCACTCCGGCCACAGTCTTATTCACCTCATTACCACATACAGGCAGAAATTCAAAACCAACAAGCCTGTCATCACAACAGTGAAGGGAGACCATTGGAGACGCTGCTCTGAATCCACAAACTGGATAGTTTTTGAAGAAGCGACAGACAGCCTAGACAAATACACAGACACAGTGACATCATAAGGACAGCTGCATTTTAAGTACAGCATGGGCAAAATATTGCAACAATAAACCATGATTTTCAGACTCCCTTACTCCCTAATGATCGCCAGCCCACCAACAACCTGAATGAGTTCTACTGCAGATTTGAACACACAAAGAACAATATTCAGCCTCTCTCTGCCAGTCCCCCACCCTGGGTCTCTTGCCTCTCCCCGCTCATCTCACCATCAATGAGCAGGACAATGACAGGCTTTTTGGCAGACATAAGGTGAGAAAAGTTCCAGGACCAAACAGAGTCTGTCCATCCATGCTGATGCACTGATGTGACCAACTAGCTCTGATTTTCACAACCATCTTCCACAGATCACTGGAACTTTGCTCTGTTCCCACTTACATCATTTCAGTCCCCAATAAAACAAACATTACCACACTAAATGATTACAGGTCAGTAGCCTTGGCTTCTGTAGTCATGAAGGTCTTTGAACTCCTGGTCCGAGCCCACCTGAAGGCTGTTACAAGCTCTCTACTGGATCCTCTGCAGTTCGCAAACAGAGATAACAGGTCTGCTGATGATGTGGTCAACTTGGTCCTGCATTTCATGCTACAGCATCTCAACAGTCCCGGAACCCACGCTAGGGTTCTGTTTGTGGACTCCAGCTTGGCTTTCAGGACCATAGTGCCAGAGCTGCTGCAGGTCAAACACTCCCAGCTATTGGTGCCAGATCCCATCTACCAGGTGATCATGGACTTCCTGACAAACAGGAAACAGCAGGTGCAGCTAGGAAATCAGACCCCAGTACTGGTGTACCACTTTTCTTCAGTCTCTACACCAATAACTGTGTCTCTAAGGAACCAGCTGTCAAGATCTTAAAGTTTGTAGATGACACCACTTTGATGGGCCTCACAGTCAATGGAAATGGGTCTGTTTACAGAAAGGACTTTATGGACTTTATGGTAGAGTGGCCAGATGGAAGCCACTACTCAGTAGGCAGCACATCACAGTGCCAAAAATTACTCTCAGGCCATTATAAATAAGATTATATGGTCTGGTAAATCCAAGATTGAACTCAATTTTCATCAGTATGTCAAAGCATGGTGGTGGCAGCATCATGCCATGCTATGGGGATGTGTTTCAGCAGCAGGGACTGAGAGGCTCACTATCACTGAGAGAAAGATGAATAGATTGGGGTGAAGCTTCACCTTCCAACACAATAATGACCCACAACAAGCAGTGGTATCAGGACAGTCTGTAAATGTTCTGGAGTGTCTCAGCCAGAGCCCAGAATTAATTGATGAGAAACAAAATAAATTTAAGCCATTTTAAAATAAGGCTCTAATTATATACATATGTTATATACACACACACACACATATATACATATAAGACTGAATACTTTCTTAATTCGCTGTACATGGATTTCGCTAAATGAATTGTTAAGAATTATTTTGAAAGGCTGATTTTGATTATTATTAGATTAGATTTTATGTTGTATTTTAATCAGGTCTATAATGGAAAAAACATGGAGTAAAACATACCTAGTGTATCAAGCTGATCATAAAGAAAAATAGTCAGCAGGGCACCGGTGGAAACTTCCAGGCACAGAAACGCACATATCCGGAGTGTGAATTCAGCTAGAATAGAAAATGTTATGTTCACTCCAGTTTTCCAGATTAACCCAGTTGGAAATATTAATATAATTGAAAGACATTTTTTAATCTGACCTTAAGGACACATAATTTAAATTTAAATTTTCCATTTTCCCCGAATGCAGTTAATCAGCCACATGTTTGATGTCCAAGTTTTACTGCTTTAGTTACTGCTAAACTGGAGCTGCTAACACACATTGTACGTGAACAGTGTCCCAAACTGTTTCTGTAAATACATCCCTAAAATTTCTCAGCTCGCTCAAACTGCGTTCAGGTCATGCGGACAATTTTGCAAGGTACTTACTGAAAGTTTCTGTTGCCAGTTTGTTGTTTGTTGCCAAAACTTTGCCATAGTTTGCATGTGTTTGCATCATTAAGGAATCAATGATAACGTTCTAGACTGCAGATTTCTTTGTTCTGTTTTTACAAAATTGGAACGCAGGACCTCATTTTCATAGGTTTATCATTATTCGCTATGCTCTCATCTGTCTTCAAACTCTCTTACAATTAGCAGCCTTAGATAATACTGGGCTAATGCTATGTACTTTTGTAGTGATGCCCCTGAGCTCGAAACCCCGAGAATCTGAAGGCGCAAAAGTACCAGCAAGAGGAACAATAATATAGTTGAAATTTTAGCATTTTACCAAATTCTGTTTTTCTAAATGAGTTTATGTAGCTTATTGATGTAACCTGAAATAAATATATGATGAATTTTATTTCGCAAATACTTTGTGAGAATATTCACTTCTATTATTTGTTGGCACTGTTAGCCTAGAAGTTTCAGTTCTAACCTAAAAAGTAAAACTTGGACTTCAAACATGTCTTGGCTGATCGACTGTATTTGGGTTGAAAAGCATGTAAATGTGATTTTTTGGTGAACTATTCCTTTAATTTGAAATATGTATGTATGTGTGTATATATATATATATATATATATACACCGTGTATGCTCACACAAATGTTGGTTAAAACATAAATTATGTACAAAAATAATCTTTATTTGTATTTTATTTACCTGAAACGACCGCCAAAATACCAAACAGAGTTGATCCTGCGAACAATAGGATTCTTTGCACAAGGCCATCAGAGATTCCTTTACGATGTACAAACTCAACTACAATAAAAATAAATAAATAAATAAAAACATGTAATACTGTTCAGACACAACAGATATACAGCTGTGTTATTGTCATTGTTATGAAACAGGCAGAAATTTTGACCAGTGTTTTCTGAAAACCAGAAGCAGCTGACATTGTCACAGTCTTTCCCTCCTGGGCCTGCGTGGTAGAGCACATCGTAAGGCAAATTCTTTTGTTTGTTTTTCTTTTTCAGATCCATTTCAACCCACTCATTATCATACCTGCAGCTTATCTCTGGACTCACTGCCTCACACATAAGAAGACCTCACTGACCCAAGTAGAGAGTAGAGGGTGTCACACTCAAGCAGCAGCAGGATGAGTTTACCCAGCTCCAAAAATGCCAGTAACAAAGAGTCCCTTTCTACTCTGCAAACAATCTCCTGCCCAGGGCCAGTGAAAATCAAGAAGGGAGCCCTCTGCTGGCTTTCACCCATGATGGGAGACCTGGTGAGTGCCCTCATTCTGTGCAGTGAGCATACTGACCACTCTGTATAGTGTTAAAATTACAACAACTGGAAAAAATAAAATGCAAAATAAACAAATTATCTTTTTTAAGATGGTAGAATGATGCATTTTCCTAAAATTGTTTATTTCTTGGACAAAGTTAGTAATATGAAACCAAAGCACATTTTAAAATTTCATATTAGTGATATTATAGATGATATTGATAATAGTTTTTGCTAGTTAACTGCAAATCAAGCATTTTTTCAGGCTGTTAAATTATGACCCTCAAATTTACACGCACTCCTACCAGATGTGAGTTTGATTTTACAAATGCAACAAAGATGAAATTGATGAAAAACAAAACTGTCTGTGAAATTTGTGTATGCTTGTTTTGACCATATGATTTGACCATATGCAACTTTAAAGAACACGGGTGATTGTCTTGCTGCTGCAGTTCCTCCTGATTACCTTGGATGCACTTCTCTGTAAATTGTCAGAGAGAATGTTACTGTCCACTTCTGAATTCATTCTGCTGTTGCCATCATGAGTTAAATCATCAGTAAAGACAGGCCCAGCAGGGGTAATGGTGGTCTGAGCGGGGGCCCCAGGGCCTTGTGGCAACAGAGAGGCCAGTGGGGTGGCTACACCATGGAGCTGTAGCCAAACTGGCAGGCCAGTCCAGGGTACAATGAACAGGCATCAGGTGTTGATACATTCCGGCTCCAGTGCGTGAAAAGGGCCATTAAATGGATCATATGGCAGTTTCAGAGGGATCTGTTGTGCATCATGATGCACAAACACAATCTTTGCCTTCTGCGGGGGCCATGTTGTAATGTAGGCCCAGGGGCAAAATTGCTGGCCTTACCCAGCAATATAGAATGTTGGCACTTCACAGTTCTCAGGGTAGTGGCATCTAGAATAACGTCTCCAGGCATGAAGAGTGTCAACCCACACACCAACTCCACTGAACAGCACTGCTCTGAACCCAATAGCACCCAGGGTAGATGGTCAAACCAGCAGTCTTCCCGGCTCTCAGTGTGGTTTTCATGGAGCGGTGAAAATGTTCATACTGGCCACTGGCTTGTGGATAGACTGCAGTGGTGTGATGGAGATCTGATCAAATTTTTGAAATAAACTGTGGGTCATGGTCTGAAGGAATACTAGATGATGGGTCAAACTGGGTGACCAAAGTGCTGATGAATGCTCACAGCCACATCAGTAGTTGTGGTTGACACCAGAGACACTGCCATTTGGTGGTTCTGTCCAAAATCATAAGCAGGTAAGTGAAGCCGTGGGAGAGGGGAATGGGGGAAACCACCAGATTCTATGAGGCTTTCCAACCTGAGAGTAAGAGCCCGTGAATAGCATCAAAAACCAACCATTTCCTTTCTTTAGGAACAAATGATTGTGGCTGGATCTGTGAATCTTTTGATCATTCTGTTTCCTTTTCAAAAACAGTACTGAAAAACAGAAAAATGGCTCAATTCTTGTTTTTTTTATTCTGTTATTGTCAGTGGAAAAATCACAAAATAGCTTTGTTTCACAGTTTCACAAACTAATCATAAAATAAAAAAAAAACAGAAGTAGAATAAAGGGCTGTATTGTATTCATTCAAATGTCACTTGAACCAGAAATAAATGTGTAGATCACAGGTCTGGTCACATAAGCTCAGAAATCTGGCGATCGTGGTTAAAAAATTATAAAGACAGGAAAGATCAGAGTGTTGACAAGACAGGCCTAGTCCGCATTTGGGGAGGCAACATCACGTTTCATAGGTGTTTGTATATTTGATGCAGCTATTCTATCAGCAAAAACTGAAGCGATATGGGGAAGAGACTCTACAGGACTCTGGCCATTTAACAGCAAAATCAGAGGAATGAGTCACGCTGCCCAATAATGATGAGAAAAAATAATACTGTAATGTCACATTGTCAGATGTGAACTTCGTTATAGTGACTGTGTTACAGCTCCATACTTAAGAATTAAAGCTGTGAGCTGTGTGCTGTACTGTGTTCCCATAAAAAGAGATGCTGTTGTGGTTTAATGTTGTTAAAGTTGTTCTGTTAGTCTAAACGTATGTGTGTTATTGTGTTATTCTGTATCCACTCCTGTGTCTCCTTCTTCACCAACACACTCATCATTACAACTGAAAGCCATTCAGTCCTCTGAGTGCTGCACAACAACCAGCGCCTTCGGTACATTAAACTGTACTCTCACTGTGAAACTCTGTGTTGGGCTTTAAGTTCTGTTGTGTTTGTTGTGAAGGAAAAGTCTGGATTAACCGTTATTTACACACAGAAATGACTGAAATCGCGAGGGTAATCTGTAGTGTCCACATGCCCGCGAGACGCGAAGGGGAGAATTCTGCACATCACTGACAAACAGGCCTGCTTTCCGTGACTTCTGACCTACTGAGACCATACAAGCACTCTGCATGCTAATTTTTAAGTAAGGTGATAGAATTTTTTTTATTTGAATCAGTAAAATGCGACTCTTTATTCCATTGTTGTTTGTTTGTTATTTGATTTGATAATTAGTTTGTGAAACTGTAAAACAAAGCTATTTTTTTTATTTTTCCACTGACAATAACAGAACCAAAAACAAGAATTGACCCATTTTCCTGTTTTTCAATATTTGTTCTGAGATGAAAATTGAATGACCAAAAGATACACAGACCTGGCTGCCCAGTGGAGCATGAATTTGTCAGGATCGCTGAACTTGGCCTCCTCCAGCTGCAGGCCTGTGATCGCTGATCTCTAAGCTTGGACTTCAAAGTAAGCATAATAAAAACAACCCTGTGGTTTTATGATGGCACTGGCTGTGGGTTAGCTTTGCTGACTGGGCTAATAGAGGCAGTAAAAGCAGCTGGGACTGCTCAGCTCACTGTGGCTGCTTCTTTCCTCTTTTTCTCTCATAACCAAGCAACAAACCCAAAAGCAATTTTTGTCACCCACTTGCGATCCAGCATAAACGTAAAGGAAAAGCTGCTGGCTATGCTTGTGGGTGAATTACATAACAATACCAATTTGATTATTTCAACATCATGAGAAATTATTCTAAGAAAATAAGACATCTGTCAGAAATCCAAGGAAATGTATTTTGCCTTTGTTTTGTTCACTCTCGGTTGGTAGAAGAGCTGAACTTGAGTTCTGAGATGAGCAGATTTGGAAGCCGTGTGAAGCTATAAAATCTGTTTAATTTCACTCAGCGCACTCAGCCCATTGGAGAACTGTATGATTTTGAGCATAAACACTTACCAACATGCTGCACATCAAATGTGACATTTCTGTTCAGAGCAGGAATATCGCAGTAATAACACAGTAATGAACAGCTTTAGTAAAGCAGGGACTGAAGATCAAAAGAGTTTTTGACAATCAAATAAAACTGTTGGAACCTGATCTCTGATACTGTTATGGAATCTACCCAAAATATTAAGAAAATCAGTTTAACACATAGTTTTACTAAAACTATTTGGTTTTAAGTTTTTATTTCCTTCATCACCTTCAGAATAACATTCATGGTGGCATTCCACTGAAAATAAATACACTGTTTCAAAAATCTCTTTTCTCTCTAAGCACAAACAATATCAGCCACACCAGCATCAGACTGAGCTGATCTTTTCTCAGGCATTACAAGCACACGCCAGTATTTACTACCAATCTCACTAAATGGGAGGAGGGGCTTCATTATAATAACTTCCTCCCAGTATTCTGTACTTTAAGAAGGAAACTTCCACAAACACAGTGTGTGAAACCCCCCCTGGTATTTGGGGTCCCATGTTGTATGTCTGCTAACTCTCTCTCTCCATAGCGGCGCTGATGCTTCAATGTCAGTAAATGCAGGGCTGGGATAGCTACTGAAAAATTAGTAGTTAGCTATTTTGTAGCTACTTTCCCAAAATTTGTAGCTGCTACAATTTAGCTACTTTTCCAGAAAAAAAGTGGTGGCTACTTTTTAGCTACTTTCAAAGCACGATTGTCAGAATGTTTGTGAATCTCCATCTGACACACCAAACAAGCCCAACTGACAGTGTGAACACGACACTGCATTTAATCATGTGCAAGAAAGAAACAATTGAAAAGCTGCAAATATACAAAAAGATCAGCAAAAAGTGAGTTTAAGTGAAACCAACAATCAAACTTACACAACCAAAGGTGTGATAACCAAAGTCAGTCATTCCAGGTTTTTCCTAATAAAACCAGAGAATTTTGTGCAAAGCTTTGTCAACTGTTGAAATAAAACTGCTACAATTTAAACATTTCAGCAAGAAACACTGATCAGGCATAACATTATAAGCACCTCCTTGTTTCTACACTCATTGTCCACTTTATCAGCTCTAAGTCATGCATTCGGCTCCCTCTATGGAGGAAACGGACTTCATCTCCCAGAATTCTCTGGGAGATCATGTGACTGAGCAGCCACACTCGGAATCCGACTCCGACGAGAACTCCATTTCCCAGGATACCATGGAGTCTCATGTGACTTCGGACTCTCACAGGCACTCCTATCAGCGCTCACAATCACCTGAGTT